TATAAAATTACTCGCCATTTACCCTGATTTCACCTAGGTTTCAAGTGATATATACATACATAAATACATACATACATACATATATACATACATAAATACATACATACATACATATATAAATACATACATACATACATACATACATACATACATAAATACATACATACATACATACATACATACATACATACATACACACATACATACATACACACATACATACATACATACATACATACACGCATATTATGAAATTATAGACCTAACTAAGTGCATCTGCTGTGCTCATACAATTATGGCAACCGTGCCACCTATTGTACGTTGATTTACTCTATCAAAATCTTTTCAGTGCTGCGCACAGTAACTCGTAACTAAGATTTTTTTATAATATTACATATTAATTTAAATGTTTATGCTACCAACAATTAAGCACATATACAATAAATCAAAGCAAATCTGATTTAATAATATAAAATCGAAAGTTTGTACGTAATTTTGTTACTTCTTAACACTAATACGGGTGAACAAATTTAGATTAAATTAGTATACACAGATAGCCTAAGTTCTGGAGTAGCACATGAGCACTCCGGAAAATATCTGAGCGAAGCAAGGTTAAGTCACTAGTTGAATATTATAAAAAAATTAGGATTAATATAATTTCAAAAACTTTAATCAAATAGAGTTCACAAGTAAGTATTTAACAAATTCCGATTTAATTTAAAAAGTGCTAATGTTGTCGTTCTTCGGGAAGCCACCGACTCGGAATGGGTTCCGCTGAAAAGAATCAGCGAGAAACTCAACAGTTGCTGATTTAAATTTAAATTTAGTACATTTTCCAACATCGTACCTATTCTACGTAAGAACCGTTTGTGTTAATTCCTAACATTTAATGTATCTATTATATAAAATACTACTGTTCATCCAGTAGGCGAAAATGACCATTTTTAATATAAATTATTACTATGAATAAAATTGTTTTGTCTTTACCTATATATATAAAGAAAATAATAATAAATAAATATGTTGGAACATTAACACAGCACCATCTAGTTCCATGGTAAACTACGAGGCTTGTGTTATGGGTACACACATATCTTTCGTATATAACTTTAAATACATACATATTTTAAATATAAACACCCCTGACTGAAGTACAAACATTCGTGCTCATCACACAAATGGATGCCACCAACGATATTGAACCCGCCACCGCTGGCACAGCAAGTAGGATCACTCCAAACTGGGCCAAAGTAATTATTTTCTGCATTTTTAATTCATATCACTAAACCTCGTCGACGGATAATAAACAAAAAAAAGAGACGATTGACAAACAAAGGAGAAAGAGGTACTGAGCCGTTTTGTTTTTGCCTATTTATATATTTGAAGTACACAGGTAAAAAATATTTTATTAAATAAAGTTTTGATTAAATATTGTCATTAAAATTGTTATTGTACTTGTTTGTCAACTGACTTCAAAAAGGAGGAGGTTCTCAATTCGACTGTATTTTTTTATGTTTGTTATCTCAGAACAGAAGTTAGGTATGTATTCAATAGGTAGGCTTTAATTACTTAGCCAAAGCACACCGACTTCGAAAATATTTGATTAGGTATATATAGTAAATGAAAACTACCAATCAGTTATTTTTTACTTTTTAATGCTTTTGTTTGAAGTCGGTTATTATTTTTTTGTTAAAAAGTTTTTTTTAAATGATATACTCGTAGTATAAGCAAATAATGTCGATAACATAAAATTAAATGTAATTTACTACGTACTAGTACAAATACTGTATGCTAAGTTTTATTCCTTCTGTCGCGTTACTAATATACGTGATCAAATGACTCTTGTAAGCTGGTGCTTCCAAGATCTATTCAAAAACATGCAACTCTTAGCACAACAATGTTAATTCTGTACCTATAGAGAATGGGAAAAGTTGTTAAGAAAACTCTTTTTATTCCAAAAGGAAAAGAGACAGAGTTTGTTCGAAGGCGCTAATCTCAGGAATCCTATTTGAATACTTTTTTTTCGCTTTTGATAGCCCATTTATTAAGAAAGGCTATAGACTATTTATCATCATACTACTATCCAAGGGAGCAGAGCAGTAATCATAAATTTCAACAAATCCGGCAGACTTCCATACATTATTGTAAAAAGATGCTTATGTCAGTAATTTGAAGCGGGTGAAGCCGCGGGTACTGATAGTATATAATTAACTGAAAAAGTATATAACCTTTGTATATTGTAAGACTGAGGAACTTGTTAGTTTTATTATTGTTTCTTTATAACTGTCAGTCAATAAATGCCCTAACAGTTAATTCATCTATACTATTCTTATAATAAAATTCTGATTTGAACCTGTACATTAAATATTTTTTGGAACATCTTATTGAAGTAGTCAGTATTATCGATACAGAGCTCGAATTTATAGTTTTTAGAATTTTTGTCTGTCTGTCTGTGTCTGGCTGTCTGTCTGTCTGGGGAACGGATCCCAAGAAAACAACTGGATAGATTTTGAGGAATGATGATAGCTGGTTATCCGGGGCAACATTTAGGATACTTTTTACTGCGGGAAAATATTTCATATATGAGAAATATTCACTAACCTTAAAATGTAGGTGCAAACCCGAGCGGAGCGTGGTTAGTGCACTTAGCGTGATTCAATTATCACTTTCATTTAGAGATTAGAGATTTCTTTCCGTAAGGTTTAGATGTACGAATATAATATCATATTTATAGAAAGTAAAGAAAATTGATGTTTTTAATCAAGTGATAAAGTCTGAGTATAGTGAGGGCGTCATACTAACATAACATAACAGACGGACAAAACATTAAGATTTTCCAAGAAATATTTAATGTACAAATTCGTCTCAGAATTAATAGATATGTAATAATAATAATAGATATTATGTTTGGACATTAACACACAGCACTATCTAGTTCCATGGTAAGCTACGAGGCTTGTGTTATGGATACCAGATATTTGATACACTACACATATATAACTTTAAATACATACATATTGTGAATTGTATTAGGTATCTATATTATGTTGATTGTATTATATGGTAATTATGAAATTAGGCTGACATCATCTCATCAGTTGGTAACAAGTCATTTATTCATTTGTTCTCGTTAAAATTGTAATCGGAGCAAAATTATATACAAATATACAGCCCAGGTTCTCGCGCGCACATAAAAAAACTGAGACTATTCAACTCTGCCTGTTATCTTTTCACTCTGAACAGATTTCAATAAAATTTGGCAAGGACATAAATTGCATCCTAGGATCGGACACAGACCTAGGCAACCTTTCAACCCTCCCTACTTCCTAAGGGAGCGAGACCGCGGGCAAAAATTAGTATTTTATAATTGTGAATTGAAAAGAAATAAACTCGCGAGCGAATTTACACACAGTGACCAGCAAATTATGTATGAAGAGAAAAATTACATTTACTTAAATTTCAAAAAGATATGCTAAAGTCGTTAATGAACAAATATCTAAAAAATATACATGGGAATCATATTATAATGATTCTATGACATAAGCATTAAATTTATCATTAGTCTCTGCCATGACCATGGTTTCTATAAAGCTTTCGAAACGTCGAGAACCAAAAATTAAAATAAGCCCACGAAAAAATCAGGAAAGATAATTTTATTGAAAATGTCAAATATTCGCATAAATCTGAGAAAGTATTAAAGGAAACAAAGTCATTTTTTAATGATAATAACGAAATACTTTCTATTGTATTTTTACAGTAGGTGTATTATACTCTATCTTAATACAAATAAGCAAAATAATTAAGTACATTTCCTCCTCTGATTATCAACCGCTTTTTTTTTCAAAAAAATCGCAATAGTATTTTTTATATAGATAGGTAAATTCTGTATATATATATTATCCTCAAATTTTCAATACATGGCCAACTTTGAACTTTCCAATGCAGTGGAAATAAAAAGATGTCCAAGACTTAGTCTAAGTTCATTACTCTGTAACGACCACTTTGTCACCTTACTTAATTTGACCCTACATAATAGTTCTACAGGGAGTAATCTCTGGTTTTCCCTTACATCCTTGAAGTAGCGTATTATATTTTATGTAATTAAACAATATAATTAATGAATTAAAAGCCATTTGAGACCACTCAGAGAAAGATGATCTTGTAAACTAAAATAGATATTAAAATTATTTTGAAGCTTATATTTAAAACAATGGTAAAAATATATACTTTGTTAAGCTTTGGTATACAAATTGTGGTTATGGTTTGAAAAATATGTTTATTATTGTAATATATATATACATAAAAGCAATGGTAACACTGATGCCCAAAACCAAGGTTTCGTCCCTTTCAGATTTTCAGGTGCGATTTTGTAATATAATCTGAAAGAATCAAAATAGTTTTCAAAGGATATGTGAAGTCCCCTAACTCATATATGGCCAGATTAGTGTGAACCATGGTCTGAAAAAATTATTGAGAGGCCGGTGCCCAGCATTGTTATTATTACATATATATTTAGCTCTTTTTTACGTCCTACTGCTTGGCACGGAACTCCCTTGAATGCATAGAGGATCAGATCATAGTCCACCACGCTGACCAAGTGCGGCTTAGAAGGCTTGACATGTCTTTCTAAAACTTGCTAGGTTCTCTCAAACATGCAGGTTTCCTCAAGATGATTTCTTCCACCGTAATACAAGTGGTAATAATTTTAAAAATAATTCGGACATGAAAATATCTAAGTTGCCAAACCCGGGATTTGAACCAGCTTCACTCGGTTTCACCACGCAAGCGCGTTACCACTGATCTATCACTACCTTGCATTATTATTACATAGAAACAATTCCAATAAGCATACAGTTATAAATTAGGGCTGAACTAACTTCATTCAATTAGCATTAATAATAAATGAAATATAATTACTTCATTTTATATTTTGAATTAAAATCATATATAACAAAACCTAATATGTTATTTCAAAACCAAATATCAATAAATCATGGCTAACTCATGTACGCCAACATAACTTCACCGACTAAATTGATCACTTTTTTCACTTTTTCTTTTTTCACCTTCTGTAAATAAAGAATGAGATGATCGTATTCACCGGCGTTTCTGAGTTTTTTTATCGCCAGCTCTTTACTTTTGACGTCATACGATGCGTACACTTTCTCCCATAGCATTTTTAAAACCATACCATCTATTGTTTTCTTGTCGTATGTTTGAGATTTTACCTGAAAGATATTATAATATTCAAGTACTCTTTTATATTCAAGTACTCTTTTTCAAGAAACAAATACTGTGAATTAGAAGATATTATTAATATAATAAATCTATAATTATAGCTATAGCTTACCATAAGTCCATGGAGGAATAGAATAACAATTATTATATAGAATTTTCGATTCATGTCTATGTTTTCAAACCGTTTATACTGTACTGCGGCAAATCGAGTACAGAAATTTAAAGAATTCTCTAAACATCCCTTTGCTTTATTTACAATGTCAATGGTCTGCTTTATGCCATAAGACGTTCTATGCAGTTTTATCTTTCTTTATATTTTACTAAGTGTGTATTAAAAAATGAAATTTTACATTTTCCTTTAAAAAGTTTTTAGAGTTTTAAGAAATAACCGCTTTGATTGCTACAGAAAAAGACATTACACTACATTTATTCTTATGTACATATGTCATATCCACGAAAAATTTAACTTTCTGTGGCAAGCAGATAAAAAATATTTTTAATTAAGACGTACAATAAAATAAAATTTTATAAAGAATCTTTTAATCTGAAGATCCAAAACTCACATCAAAGAAAAATCGGGACGAGCCGAATCAATAGAATTACGCGATTTGTATTGGTTCATTTCAATCTTTTCCACATGGCTTGCCTTTGATAGAATGTCAGTGTAATCTATTGCACAATTTTTATATCTTTGCCACTGATGCGAAAATTTCGTACATTCATGATACATTTGAGATTTATGTATGAAGGGGACGCCTCATTGATCATGAGTGTATATCGATAAAACCCTCTTCCTCTTTTAATGATTATGATGGCACAAGAAAATACTCTTTTTTCTATTTATGAAGATATTTATTTCTCTATTAGCCAATCACAATCGCTTCGCTCGGGTTTTTCTCTAGGAACATAAAAACAAATATATCTCACTGGAACCGTACATTTTTTCGGAATAAAAAGTAACCTATCTGCTATTCCAAACTATAATCTATCTCTGTGCCAAATTTCGTCCAGATCCGTTCAGCTGTTCTGACGTGATTGAGTAACAAACATCGATAAAAAAATCTAAGCTTTGACATTTATAATATTTGTAAGATTAGTAAGATGCCAATCTCTGGGAGCTGGCAAAGTCTAAAAGAAATTCTAAACAATCAGGTACGTTAATTCGCCGAGCGAACCACGAGCGAAGCGAGAGTGAGCCGATAGTACATAATATAAATTAAACCACACGTAGATACGTAGCTAAAACACTGCCAATCTACTAAAAATTTCTTGGCCCGATCCAGGACTCAAGCTCAGGACCTAAAATCTGCAGCCTACATTTTTTGCCACTGGACTAACGAGGATTAAAATATAATATGCAGATACGATTCACCTTACACTTCTAGTTTACGCATTCTAGGCATAGAATATATATATATATATATATATATATATATATATATATATATATATACCGCGAACAATAGTAATAATTAATTATATTATATAATACTTTCCTATTTATATACTCACTATTCAGATATTTAATTTTTTCAGTTTATTACTTAAAATTTAAAATACGTAATTAATTTAAAATTCCTCTTCCAAAGTGAGAACAAAGGAAAACTTTTTGAAAACTTTATATAAGTATAGTGCTTAAAACATTTGATTTTTCAAGCTCTTTAATATTTATTTTGTATTAAAGCATATTTAATTTAATGGAAATCTTAAAAGCTCTCAGTGTAAAGGATATTCTATATAATATTCTTTCGAAGTAATAATGATTATTATTTTTTATATTAGCTTATATTTTTGAACTAGCGAGTCACCCTAGCTTCGCTCAGGTTTCGTGGGGTAGGTACGTTTTTACGGTTAGTATGGAATAGATCACATGATAAAAGGGCTGCAAAAAAAATTTTCATATCAGATAAGTAGTTCCTGAGATTAGCGCGTTTAAATAAACAAACAAACAAAGTTTGCCTCTTTTGTATATTAGTATATAGTTATGCAAGGAAATCAGTTCAGTACCTTTTTCTCTTCTGTTTGTCAACCGACTTTTTGAATCATTTAGTTTTTAAAATAAATATACAACTTATAACTATACATTTATGGAATGTGAAATATGAAATTTAACTGTTATAAAAAAAACTGTATGTATATTTTATTTACAGTAAAGAAAATTATACATATACTTAATTATATATACAAAACAAATGTACACTTAGTTATTACTGTACAAGTCATGTCCGCGCAGAATAGTGGCAAGAATGCTAGCCGCATTCCCCTGTTGAATGGCAATGTCGATTCTTTGGGCGAAAAATGCGCCAGACCTCCAGTCACAGTCTGTCTGTCTGTTAGTTTTTTATATAGATAGACAAATTCTATTTATATATTTTTTCTATTTATTTATATATTTCTCTAAATTTTCAATAATGATTATTAGATTTTCGACCACTGGACGTTCAATAGTAAATATATAAAAATATGTAATGAATACATGCCAACTCTAATACTAATATCATCATACGAGTATATCTACGCATATCTATTGAAGATGACAAGTGTCACTTAAGATTGTACACGTCAAGTGATTAGACATATTGATTTCTGAGACCTATACTGTAGCCGTTAACTTGATGAATTGCACCTCTAGACGGTGACAGAAAGCCTTTAATTGTTCTCTGAACGCATAATCGAATCATATAATGTATATTATATTATAATATAAGTATATTATTTTATAAATATTATAATATTTTATAAATAAGTTTTTCCGTTATATAGAAAAATACAATTTGCACGTCTAAAATATTACATAGAAGTAAAGCTTATAAGATTATTATGTTTATGTTTGGATGTAAGGGATAACCTCTGAAAGTACTGGTTTTGATAATTCTTCCAAATATTAAGCTATTATCAAATATAACCGAGTACGTAAGCAAAGTTAAGTTAGCTGCTTGTTATCCCGAAAAATGTTTTTAAAGTCAGAAATCATAGTAAGTTCAATGGAAGTCAGAAAAAACCGTTTGAAGCTGTCTAAAATGTTTGAAATAAAACAATAAGGTGAATAAATAAAATGGAAAACACGAGCAAAGCTAGAGGAAATTCGTTACTGAGTTCTAAAATGCCTATTTTAATTTTAAATATTGTGTTTAATTACAAGCCATAACACGTAAGCTACGTATACGTCCTCAATCATATTAGTAAAGTTATATGTATGAATAACTGGAAACTTCGGTGGCAAAGTTATGTTCTATTACAATTGTGTGTTTAGCGCTGTATGTTTTCCAGTTAACAAATATACATGAATGTACAAAAATAATTAACAACATTATTATGTTTATCTATACTAATATTATAAAAAGGCAGAGTTTGTTTGTTTGTTTGTTTGTTTGTTACAACGCGCTAAACTCAGGAACTACTAATACGATTTAAAAAATTCTTTCATTAGATAGCCCATTTATTGAAGAAGGCTAATATAGGCTATATATCATATAATATATTATAGTCTATGATCATATATTTCGATAACGAAAAATCAGAAAGAAAAAGAAGAAGACCACAATAAAAAACTAAGGAATTTCCTGAGATTTTTTCGAATATTCGTTTCTTCTTTAGGCTGTTACGGCATTATAGATTCCAGTAAAATTCGTATCAAAGACAATTTTTTATCCTACTCGTAGATTAATGCATAGGTTATTTTAGACTTAATTATCTTCTCAGATTTGTTCGTAGATTTATTTAGATTTTTGTTTCTCGATGTTTCGAATGATTTACAGCAATCATGGTCACAGGACAAAATCTCTCCCGTGACCATTATAGTTTTATTTAAAAACTATAATGGTCACGGGAGAGTTAGGAGAGTGTTAGGGTCCTGGTGGACGTTAAAATAAACAGTGAACTGTATAATATTTTTAATGCTGGTACAATCATCGTTTTGTCGTTTACAAAGGAATAGGGAAAGCAAATTAATTATTTTAAGGTTGTCCTGTCGGCCATGGCTCTCAGATGGATGTGGGCGCTCCGTCATATAATTGCCACTCGCCGTGGCTGTTGATGGTAGGGCTGCGCTCGCGGCCCGGCGGTGTCTACTATTGCGTTTAACGGAGCGCAACAACGTGGAATTAACTATAAACTTAAATTATTAAATATAAATATATCAATTATAATTATAACTTTCCAAATAAAATGTCACATCCAATATAAATAAAGATATTTTAAACAATTAATAAATTTTAAATAACAGGCTCTAAGAATAAAGTATTAATATCAAATCAGAATACGCTTATACTCGTAACAAGCAACATAAGGGAGGCTTGTTCCACATATAATGGCGCGTAAACAATCTCGCATATTTTTTAATAATACTTACATCTTGTATTATTAAAATAATACAAGATATTATTAAAATATGCGAGATAATTGAATAATTGTTTGAACATCGTAATAAAAAAATATTTGATAAACAATAACAATTTATATATAACAACTCGTATTATATCCGGGTCAACATATATGTATATATATATATATATATATATATATATATATATATATATATATATATATATATATATATATATATATATATATTGAATTCAACTCTTTTTATAGTCCCACTGCTGGGCACGGGCCTCTCTTGTCTTTATGATGGGCATCAAGGCATAGTACACCATACTGACGAGAAAACACAAGTCTACACTAATGTTATAAAGAGGAAAGATTTGTGCATATTTTTGTATGCTTGTAACGAATAAACTCAAAAACTACTGGATCGATTTAGATGAAATTTGATAAAAGGATAGGGGATAGATAGGACGGATATAGGATATTTTTTATTCCAAAAATCATCCTTTAAGGGGGTGTGACGAAAGTGAATAATAGTGAGATGAAAATTTGTGTGGGGAATCAACCTAGGAACGAACCCGAGCGAAGCAAGGGTGAGTCGCTAGTCGAATATAAAATGTATGCTTAAAATTTTTGAGTGAAATTGACGTGGAAATAATAAAATATTTATATTGTACCTAGGTTATCACATTCGGTCCTCACTATGACTAAAACCACCAACCCGCACCCCACGCACCCGCTAGCGTGGTGGAGCATGGCCTCTTCCCCCTCTCTTAAAAAGACGTCTGTGCCCAGGAATTACATTCGTTATTTGATTTCCAGTAATCCGTATGGATTCAT